CCATCGCCACCACAACAATCGCTGAACGTGTCACAAATCGAATCAACAGCCGGAATCGCTCGAAAACATTCCGCGGTCCTTCCCGAGCTATATCACCAGCACCACCGAACTCGAAATGCCGTAATCGAAGTTGCTAAGAATAAAACAAAATCAAACAAATGGTAACGGCACATCATCAATTCACTTAACATAATCGCTTCATAACGAATAATAGCAGATAATTGGATAATAGATCCAATCCGGATCATAGCCTGGCTCAGGCTCACAACATTAATGACATTGGTACGGCACTCGGGTTTGAGCAAAACTTTCCTTCGCGAACGGAAAGTTTTGCTCGAAACCGAGTTATGTACCAATGTCATAATCGCTTCAACAAAATTGCTCAATAAAATGCTCTCTCCTTAATAATAAGATATCCACTTTCACAATTCCTCTCGTACTTCTAATAATTCCCCAAACCCACTCACAATGCGTTCACAAGAACACATTCAACTCATTAATAAATTATTACTACTCTTATTCCAATCTCGATCACCTGCTTATTTCACTCATATTCAATCACAAAATTATTTTATGTTCATTCGCTTATGCATGAAATATTTAATCTCTATCGAAAATGTTCTGAACAAAATAAATTTCATGCAACTAAACGTGAAAATTGCAAATAAAATTCTGCAAACTTCATTTCAATTTGATTTCAGCAAATAAATTTCAGCTTTACAAGAACGTGACAAAATGTGAACATATTGATCAGGAATCCTTTCTCGTACCCTGGCAACGATCAGTCGAATGGCACACGCGAGCACCTCTTTCACTAAGGCTATTTCGGCACCAACCCATAACGACCGAAAGCCATACAATTGATACAAATGCCTGGCTGCAATTCATAGTTCTTAAGCACAAAACATTCGAATCCTTTTTTCAACTCAACTTTGTAACTTGTTCGATAAAGTCCTCGAAAAAAAAACAATTTCCGAAAAGGAATATGAGAATCATGAAAATCATTTTTTAAACGACAAAAAATCACGGAAACTTCTCTCGATCCCACTGTGAACCCAAAAAGAATAGAAGAAATCTTAAAAAATTCAAGAAAGAAATGAAATAATGAAATTTCACTTTTGTCCACTCACCATACGAGAAAGCGTTCGCATGAAAGAAACACGACGGTCCAACCAGCAAAAAATATCTGCCTTTAGTTAAGGGTAATCGATTGTAGCCTAACTGTGATAGGGTTCGACTCACGACGGCGATTGGATGCGATAAAAATGCACCGAATACTATACTTCGTACTTCACGTTCAGCCATTTCAGCCTAAAATTAAAATATTTTCAAGGCAAAAATTAAATTTTCATGGCACAAATCAATGTGAAAAGAGATGCTTCTACAAAATTTCCCTATAAATCAAATGTTAACAAGTCAAATCGAACCTCTTCACCAGTATAGCCAAGAAACCGTATCTCCCTGGGAATTTCATCGTTCTCTACTTCGTTTTGCATTGATGTCGTTCTGGAATGCTTCAAGAGTATTATCTAAAAATGTTCACTGCCTTGAGATTTATTTATAAATATACACATATATTCATACAACTCATTTGATTACTTTATCACCTCAAAACTGAATATTTTTGTTTTTTCATCACTACAAATATTCAAACAACCAAACTGAATGAAAATACAATTGCAAGAGTNTTCACTGCCTTGAGATTTATTTATAAATATACACATATATTCATACAACTCATTTGATTACTTTATCACCTCAAAACTGAATATTTTTAAACAATTTTCAAACAATTTCATCATTACAAATATTCAAACAACCAAACTAAATGAAAATACAATTGCTAGAGTTTACATTTACGATTTCAATGAACAAAAATGAAAGCTTCCCTATTGTTAAACAAGAGAAAATCACCTAATCCGAAGTGTTTCATCAGTTACTCCGAGACCTTTTTGCTCAATTAAAGGAAAGAAATTCCTCTACGGCTTCACTGATTTCATATTCTCTTCATTACATTCGAACTTCTATTGTTTTCAAAGAAATGTTTCAGTTTTGCCTCAACTAATATTCACAACTTCAAACAGAACATGCGATTACACTTGCGATCACAGTTCATCATCGTAAACAGATACGCATTGAATGCTTTGAATAAGACGGCAACAATGTTAAATATCCCATCAGTATAATATAACTGTAAACTGCAGTTTTATTCCACCCACAACAGTTTAACAATCTGATGATAATAACAACACACATAAATAATAAAAATATGTATCAAAATCACAGCAATTCACACAATAAATTAATTCACTGTCACACAATAAATTAATCATATCAATCATACCTTTCGAAGCAATAACCTTATCAATACCAATTCATCAAAAACACTTGAAAATCAAAATCAATCCATGAAGACGTTCCAACACTTAACAGATTCCCTTCACCCATTTTTATCCACCACCTCAAAAAAGAAATTCCACTTCCCCGACTAACAACCCTTTCCAGTTGAAGCATGCAAAAGCAACCGAAATTAACTGAAACTATACGGGTCAAGAATGTGTTTGATTGCAGTCCTCAGTTGTTTATTAATCGTGTAAAGTTCATGACTTTGAGACGATGATGAAAGCGAAGAGGACTGCGGTGGTAGATGCGGAATGGGCACCAACAACGGATCGAACACTTTGAATATTAACACGAAACCTTCTTGCGAGTCTGCACATTCACCTTGTGGATACTGCAATCCAATCAAGTAAATCCGATACCTTCACTTACAAATTTCCAAGCATTCACACCATATTTGCACTGTTATTCTCAATTATATATCAATGGACAAAAATAATTATTTTTACATTATTCAAATTAACTAACCAATAATGATACATTACACACACTACACTGCATCACTTAATTAAATCAAGATTCATTAATGCAAAATGCGAATAACTATCAACACGTTTTCAGATAAATTTGTTTCATTAGTTCTGCTCAAAAGAAAAACTAAAAATAAAATTTTTGAAAATGAGAATAAATGGACAAAACATGACGCTGAACTGCACTGAGCGACGAATCAAGCAACGAATCCTTACCCTCTCCACATATTCAGCCAACGATAAACACTCCATCAACATCGCTCGACCCACGATCGCACCACTCGGATAGCTTAACGGATACTCCCGATCCAGTCCTCCATATCCGCCATCAGCCTCGCCTCAACCAAGCAACATATCACTTATGCCAGACTCTATCTCCATCGTACCGATTCCCTTTTTTGTAATCGCTACGAAAATAACCCATCCACGAAAACACTTTCATTTATCACATGAACAAACTTCGCAAAGAATAAGGCAATATCAAAACCAAACTCAATTTGTTGCCTCTCACTTAATGAGACCACATTATAGGATTATATCACATTATTAAAATTATTATTATAACACTCATGTCACATTATATTATTATATCAAATCATTAATATTATATCAAAATTAGTATCATTATATCACATTTTTATATCACTTCGATTTATCACATTATTAAAATAACTGATTTCATTATTTTCAAAAAACAACAATAGCATCGTCTAATACGCGAATCAAACCATCAGAATATAAACCATCCAATAAGAAATTGGACAACTAACCATAAACATTTTGAAATGCCAAATCGCGACATTTCTGTACTTCATCTCTAATTTCAGCCTGTGTGGCTGCTCTTGCTGTTGCAGCGATGAACAACGGTCCACGAAGATCCACATCTTCAGGCCATGGAATATGCCTGAATTCGTTTTTTGTTCACAATCAAAACCATGTTCAAAAATTATCCGATATCAATACTAAGCAAAAGATTTTTTAACAAATCTTTTGTTTTTCATATCACAACACAGATTCTCAATACTCTTTTCATGCATGCTTGAACACCTCACACAAACGCACACTCCCCTTCATCCATCAATAAGCACGCACATCTGCTATAAATTAACGAAAAACATCTTCAATTCCAATCTATTTCACTTCAACTTCACATATCTCTCAATTCACTCATTTGCCCCATCTGAATTTCCCTCTACACACCAAACTCCATAGCAAAACAAAACAGAAACCAGTTCTATTCGCACAATCAAAAAATCAATCAAACACAATCGAAATGAATACAACATCACCGTCACAATACACCAAATAAGATCACATTATAAGATTAAAATAAAACAAAATGATTTTATTATTTTGTGAAACCACAACAATAGCATCGTCTAATATGAGAGTTACACCATCAGAATCTAAATCATCCAAATAGACAAATTAAACCAACAGCAAACAAACGAACCTTCTGATACCCACAGCTAATAATGAAGCAAGTGGTTGTTGCACGGGTATCGCATAACCTTTCCGTTCCACTTCAGCGTATAACATCTCCTCGCTCGGTATCAAAAACATATCGTCAATTTCTAATCGTTCATCATCACTCAACCCTTGCACATTCTTACTTCGGTGACCGTATCGTTCATCGTACTGAATATATTCACCTTCTGAATGCTTCCCAAATGGTCAACCTCTCAAAACCTTGCGGTTTACATTTCTCAGTAAGACCTTACTTAAGTGTGCAAATGAATTCAAAAAATATTTCACTGTAAACAAAACATAATGATCCAATTACTAACGTTGATTCCTTTTACTCAATGAAAATGCTATACTGATTGCAACTGATTAAATCAAAAAACTGAACAATTAAAATTCTTTGATGCTTCTAATCAATTCAATCATTCTGATGGAAATTCCTCCACTCTTTTAATTACTCTCCACGAAACGACAATTTGATAGTGAAGTTGCGAAAATAAAACAATTAAAATTGCATACTTTCGGAGTAAACGAAGGGAATAGGGAATCGAAATTCGGTCTTGACATCAATACACCACTTTCTTGTTGTTGTCTCTGGTGTGATTTACTGATGATTGACTGGATTACAGGATCGCTGGCCGCATACTCATGCTGATCTTTTGTCTGAAATTAAAATTGTTGAGTTGAAAACTTGTCTGAATTGAAAAATTGAAAAAAAATAGAAATTTTTAAAAAAAATTTCTGAAATCTTTCGTTCGAAACTGAAAAACTGGGTTGATGTTACTAAATCTAGACACATACTTACAGGTTTATATGTAAATCTCCTCATCGGTTCAATTGAATCTACTCATTTGAACTTTCATCCAAAGTGTTCATAGCATCCCAATGAAACAACGCCATGAGATATGAAGAAAACAATGCGAATGTGAGTTAGTCATCGAAATCAAACACAAAACTATCATATCTGATGGATTATCCACGTACCTCATTTACGGTTCTCTTGTCCAAATCAAAATCCACAATCAACGCTCTCTTCTGACGTGCACGCATTTGTTTCAGCTCTTCTTTTCGGGCAATTATCGCTTCTCGTTCCTTACAATTACAATACCAACTGTACGATTTCAAATGCATGCATGCTCGTTACCGTCATTTTCAAAACCATCACAAAATACACCTAACTATTGATTCAATAAATGAAATACCACTCACAAAAAATGAACCGAATCTATTTCTGTGGTATGTAAACTGGACACTGACCTATTGAACTTTCAATATCTTATGGTTGGAATCTATCAATGTTGTGATTAAATATTCAGCAAATTTATGCTAAGGGATAAACGATATTTCATGAAATTACCCAGTCCCAGCTCACAACTAAAACGGACAAACTGAACTGATTGAAACATCAAAGTCGATCATTTAATGCGCCATTCCCATACCTCTTTTGTCAAATAAGCATTGTTTTCCATATTATAATAATCCGACTCCAAATCGTGCACGTGTGTTTGCCGTTCCCTATCGGCATCTGCTGTTAACAATCTATTTTTGAATTCCTCAGCCTTCGATAGTGCATTCCCCAAAGCGGCCAACGAAAGCGGTTCGCCACTCGATGACTTTCCACTCAACTCATTTGCGTCATTACCAGCCATCAGTTTTCCATAGAGCTCTGCTGATTTCTTTGAATTACGATTTAGAATCTGAAATTATTTGGTGGAATTTTTTGATGTGACTGCTCATTGACGGAATCATATTCTTATG